AATCCCACATCCTCTCAAGAGCCCGGGCACAAGCAGCCAGTATAATATATATATATATAGTACTAGCTGTTACCCACGACTTTAACCTTACCGCTGAGAATGATGAGAATTGCTGAGAATCAAACGAACTATTTTCAATTTGATCAATTTTCTGGAACGTTTACAATCGTTCTATAATCGAATCAATAAGCAAAAAGAAACTCGAATTTAAAACGGTTTGAACATTTGGTTAAAAAATCGAAATATATCAAAATATTTATAACTGTGTCTGAAATGTTATCAATTTAATACACCTAAGTACTCAACGAAAACAAAAAATTGCATCTAAAATAGTACAGTAAAAGCCATTCTTCAGGTCAAGCCTTAATCCTTTTCCTCTCCCCCGCGGGGGAATTTCGAAAAATCCCTTCTTAGTGTGAGTTTTCATGACGTACCCTAACTGTGTACAAAATTTCATTTCTTTAAGTTCAGCAGTTTGCTCTGGGCAGTGATAAATCAGTCAGTCAGTCAGGACAAGTAATTTTATATACTGTATTTAGATATACAGTATATAATTAATAATCAACGTAGTAGAACTCCAATTATCCGAGGCGAATCGAAATACCGCCGATCCACATTATCTCGGATAATCGGAGTTTTACTGTATTTGGAAATGAAAGTGAAATTTTCTTAACCAAAAGAGCAGGAACGATCATGAAAATGACGAGTTTCATACTTTTTCGTTAGTAAACCTACTAAAAAAATGGCTAGTTAACATGTAGAGTATTAATCACTTATTCCATAACATATACAATATAGCAATTTCCATTTAAACCAGGTTTCCATCGAAATAAATTTATTTCTTTTTATTTTATTAAAATGAAATTTGTACCTCCCGTTGTACTGCACGCTATTCTGGAACAATTAAAATGTACACGTAGATTCTCCACATGTAGAGTAGTATTTTGTGTATTATACGCAATAAAAATTCACACTGGATTTATGTTATTTTTAAAACTTGCGATGTTTGCACAGGAAACACAATTCAGTTCACATAAAGGTACCAAATTTCGAATTCACAGAAACTTGAGACAGTACTTAAAATCAATAAATAAACAACTTTTAATATCAAAAGGAAACATAAATGATAATTGATCTCTCCACCTGTTTTGCTTATTTATATCTTGACGAATTTATTGTTTCACAGCAGTGGTAGTTTCAAGAACAATGGAAGGAGTAAAACAACGTATTTCGCTGCGAAAATAAAGTCAATCGCAATTGATATTTTAAAAGAGAATCAAAAGGAAAAAGCGTAATTCATGACACCGTGACGGAAGAAATTATTCGATATAAATACAGTAGTCACAGATTACCACGTGTAATTTTCGAACCTATTTGATGTTTTCTTAAGATAACCTGAGCACCACCGTGTACTGTACAATAGCTAGATAAAAATTATTCAGTCTGTGGTTGTTTTAGCTATCTCAGGCTAAAAAAAAAAATTAAATGAACTATTCGATGGTAATGTTAACGTGCGTAAATTCCATTAAACATAAATTTACATTTAAAATTAAACGTTTCATAATACAGATAACAGAGATTTAAACTGTATCACATGCTTGAAAATTATTATTCCACTCACGTATACTTCCTGTAAACGGATTTCTTAGTGCTAATAGCAAAAAATGCTGCAACGAGTTGCTTAACTTTCCCAGCAATGGTAGCGCCACCCGTTATCATATTTTATTTAAAAAACTTATATTTTTAACTATTACGAAATGGCAAAAAGTTCAGTTTTAAGGCGGCCATACATGTTAAGTTAATCCTTTGAGGCTGCCTGACCTTGAGGAACTTCAGAATTTCCTATAGCCAACACACGAAGAAAAAAATCTCTCAGCAGAGGCGTAGCTAGGGTGAGGCAAGTACGGCACGTGCCCCGGGCGTCATTCGCAGAGGGGCGCCAAATGGTCTCCAAGATAAACAAGATTTGTTTCTGGAAGGGGAGGGGGCGCCAATTATATTCGCTATACCATTGTCTCTCAGTCAGTCAGTCAGTCAGCCATGGCATCTGATGACAACATACTGGCTGTTCTTGGATGTTTATTGGCAACAAATTCTATTAAAACTCGCGGGAAAAAAGTATGCATAGAAGTCTATGGTGTAAATAGTAGTAGTGGTTTGGGTAGCACTGATCACAAAATTAGTTTTGTGATCTGAAATAATTCCATTAAAAATTATTCGTATGAAAAATTAATTTTTCAAGAGAAATCTTGGGCTATAGATTCTGTTAAAAAGCATCAATTATCGGCGAAAGATCAATGGCAAGTCGATTTTACTACCAAAAAATTCATGGATTAAATTTTATAGACGAATATATATTAATAATTCTCAACCACATCCAATATTAGTACAAATTGTAAACATTATTATCGCAAATTAATTTTATAATTTAATAATTAAAAAGAATTTATTAAACTTTGTCTTATTTTAAGTTGTCATGTTTTAATTTACTTGGATATTAAAACAATATTTTAAAATATAAAAGAAAATGATAGAGTATCGAGATGTTTTATGATAACGGAAGAAACGAATTGAGAAGTTTTCTACTCGAGAAATTTTTGATCTGAAAATAATTTATAACCTGAAAAATTAATTTTTTAGGTTATAAATAATAAAAGTTAATAAGGTTATAGAAAATAATTCTTCCATATATTCACGACACATTGTTCTCACAACTGAACGATACGACAGCATACACGTTAAGGTCAGCCTGTGCAGTCTGACACTGTGCAGGAAAATCAAATGGTTTTTCGATTCTACTCCAGTGGTCGGTACAGTCCGCCAAAACTGTTAAATTCCCCCCCCCACACACACTACCAGGAATTACTCAAGGTCAGGCATGCGCGGTTAATCCTCAAAGGATTTACTTAACGTGTATGGGCCCCTATATATTAGGGGTAGGGATGAATTTTATATAAAAAAAACTGTAAATGCTAATGAGTAAAATCGTTATTAAATCTGACCCTACTAGACAGCGGATGGCCAAGCGGTCAAGATGGCAGCCTACTGCTCTGGGGGACCCGAGATCGAAAAATCACCAGGAATTTTTCAGGTCCCGTCTCTCACCACCCGTCAAATTCATAATGGGCTTGCTAAAAAAAGCTCTCTTAAGGCTGGTATACACGGTAAGGAAATCCTTTGAGGATTAACCGTGATTTTTTTTTCTATCTATCCATTTTTAAATAAAAATAATTCTTTATACGTTGGGAGATATTTTAATAAGTTTTGTAAATTACTATGTTCGATCCAGCCAGTCATATCCGAGTTTTTTTTTCGTCTGTTAAACACATCCTTTGAGGATTTCCTTACCGTATATACCAGCCTTTAGTGCCCATAGGGCGGAGAGTTAAAAAAAAAACACCCAACTGGAGATACGCACGACCCCTCTATTGGGTACACAACTGGGCGATACTCAAGCGGACAACAGAAATTTTAAATTTTGCAGGCTTAGCAAGCATGCGATTTGGCGGATATTTTTTTTTATTTTTTGTAATTATTATTCATTAATTATATATAGTTAAGACTTACGAGTTATTTCCAACTTAGGAAATGTTTTGGAACAACATAGTGTAGCATCGTAACTTATTTTGTCAGAAACAAAAAACAACAAAAAAGCGGTTCTTCAAAAACAAATTCGTTCGAAGAACTTTTATACTTTTTTGTTTTAATTTTATATAATTGTTGTCTTTGTTTTAATGTATAATTGTTAATTTTGGTAAGGTGACCAACTTTTTTACAATGAAAAGGACACTAATAAATTAAAAGAAAAAATATCGTAAATAAAAAACATTTTATTCATTGCAACAATAATACACTATAATAATATCTACTGCATGCATAGGTGCCATGTCGTGTTTCGATAAGAAGTAAACAAAGCCATTTGCGCGCTCTCTCTCTCTCAAGGTCTCCCGTGCGAAGAGCATGCGTCTCATAATTGCATCTCGTCGCACTGTACAGAGCCTTGATGAATCGTCATGCAACGGATCAGTTCGGATTGATCAAATACAGAGATTTACAGATTAATCTTCAAATATCAAAAAGGATGACATGTAGGAGGGCACTTTTCGAGGGAGGACAGAACTTACAAAAGGACGACGATTGGTCACCTTAATTTTGGGATAGTTAACTGTCCTTCGAGACTTCTATTTATAAAAATAAATAACGTATGTAATACAATATGTATAAATATATTTGTTAATTACAAAATTGTTTTTTTAAACTTTTCTTAAAAAATCTTAAATTTACCGGTAGTAGATCAATAGAAAATGAATGGCGATTTTTATAAAAACAAAAAATTTTGTATTTTGTTTATTATTGATCTTTTATTTTGTCGCCCACATATCCGGCGCCCAGTTGACGGTATCCCCCATTATCTCCCCAACCCTCGACCTTTAATCGCCAAGCTTTATCATCATAAATCTTCCTGCAAAATTCCAGAAATTTTCGACAAAAATAAAACGCAGGAGTTATTAAGTTTAAAAAGTGGGTGAACAAAATCGTGTCCCCCACACATTAACATCCATACATATAAAAAAAAAAACTGAATTTTTTTTTCATTTTCGACGTTTCGAGATCTCCAGTCCAAAAATGTAAAAATCTTGGCGGGGGTCATTTTTTGACCTATCGCCATACTTTCCCTCTGTTATACATAACAGCAGGAAAGTAAAAATGATTCTTAAATTTAAAAATAAAACTGAGTTTTCTACAGAGGAGTGTTTAACAATTAAAAATTCTCCAATTATGATATAAGTTTAAACATTTTTTCTTTAATTAATAAAAACATGTTAAAAATAATAATAAATAGCAACTACAGAAAATAAAATATTAATTAAATATTCTTAATAAAAAAGTTAAATTATCATTTTTTGGTTAAAATACTATCAGAAAATGTAAAGACATTTTGTATGTAAAACAAAAAAAATAATATATAACTATTTTAAACTGAAATTAAAAATCTTAAGTGATGGTGTATATATATATATATTTTACTTTATAATACTTTCATATGAATACATAGATGATTTTTCAAATCAAAAAGTCTCATAAAATCCACTATGAATAACTTTGCACTTTTTATTCTTACAGAGCATTATGTCATGAATCATAAAAAAAAAATATTTGGCATTGTAATTACGTTGCACCTATACCCGTTGATCCCATTCGTTGTGGATCTTGTGATGGATAATGGATTGGAATTCCTGAACGATTTGCAGGAGTCACAGGAGGTGCTGGCATTGGTGGTGGTGGAAATCCTCCTGGAGGTCTAAGAACTTGTGGTGGATTGGGTGGTGGTGGTCCAGGTGGAGGAACACCTGGTGGTCCCATAAATGGAGGTGTTGGAAATCTCATTCCTAAAAAAATTTATACAATTATTGGCATAAAATTATTGTAAAATAAATGAAAAATAATAATTGACATGTATATAGAATTCAAAATTAATGAAACTTTTTATAAAATATAACTAATATAAATTTAATCACACACTAATTTCTCTGTTTCCATAATAAGTTCCATTATTATTATCAGGCCCACCGTAAGCGGGCTGCACGTCCAGGGGGCAGCAATTACAATATCTTTTTACTAATGACTTAATTTCAACATTTCCGAACATAGCAGTAGCACTAAGAATATTACTTACATTGCCGGTTTCAGTTGCATTTGGTGAAAGGTCCTTTTCAAAGTTAAAAATTATAAAAAAAACTACTTAAGACCAGCAAAGACTAAGTAATTTAGCTATAGTTTCAATTGAACATGAAATCTTAGACAGCTTGGATACAAGAAAATTGATAGCAGATTTCACAAACAAAGGCAAGAAGAGTTAAATTTCTGTAGATAAATATTTATATGGTTTTACATCTAAGAAAACAAAAATAATTTAGTAATAAAAATAAATAGTTTTTCTTTGTAAAGTATTTCTTTTCTTTTTTCACACCCTTATGAAACAACACTAAAGAGCCTTTCTGGCAAGCTCATCTTAGGTAGTCGTAGTTAAACAGGGCGGCATAATCGATATTGCACACGAGCGTTCAAACAGCTAGCAGCACTTCTGATTATTATATCTTAAATATAAATGCAATTTAATGAAAGTCTAAAACCCATTTACTGTACATTACTAACTGATCTACATACAATACATTACTAACTGATCTACATACAATACTGATCTAAATACATTTACTGTACATTGCTAACTGATCGATAAGAATCAGTTGAAGTAGAGATCTACATGAATTGGTTTTTATTGATGAAATGAACACAGATAGTTGCAAAAAAATGAACAAATTCAAATTATTCTTGTTATACTGTTACTAAACTTTTTAATTTCTTTTTTGCTTAACAGGTTTGCAACATTGTGTATCGCTGCTGCTGCTGCTGCTGCAGCAGCACAACAGTAAAATTAGATATTTTGTAGATGGAGTATATTTTTATACAAGAAGTTTATCTTTGGTTTGCTGTCAAAGAATTTTACCATCATGTCTCAGTTTTGAAGCATAAACACTTCATATATCATTTATATCATCAAAAGTAGTTAAAATGTAATAAAAGCATCTATATTGATAAAAAAATAAAAATTTATCAAATTTTTAATTATTTATTGAAAAGAAATGCAAAAGAATGTTTTCTTTTAAAATGTAACAACCAGTTTTGTCAGAACTGAATATTTTAATTTTATTTTTTTAATGCAAACTACTTATGCAGTTACTGAAAAGCATTTAATCTTAATTCAAAAATTAATATTGCTTGAAACTTTATAGAAAGAATCAAAATCTTTTGCTGAATGTTTACACAGGAATGTTTTCTGTATGAGAAATGAAGTAATCAAAGAAGTAATGCATAGACCATCAAAAATTTGGTTAGTGATCATATATTGTCAACTACATAAATTACTAGATTTATAACTTGAAATGTTGTGGCAATTTTATGAAATAAATGCATTTGTCATGATGCCTCAATAACACGTTGCAATGAACAAAAAGTTTACAATTTCAATGGTTTGTGTTATCAGAATAAATTTTTTCATTTTTGTCTTGCTGCATGACATGCAACAATATGATATTCAAATATATTTATGAATATGGTGTACATACATACTTTTAAAATTTGTAATGTATCAAATATTAAATCTCTTAAAATTTTAACTTGAAAACTTACCCATTGGAGGAGGATGGGGCATCATTGCTGGATGCGGAATAGGTGGCGGTGGTAAATTTTGTGCAGTTGGTGCAAGATTGAAATAATTGTTTGTTAATTCATCAGGTGGTGGAGGTAAAGCTGAGAAAAACAATTTAAGATTCAGAATTATGTTATCACAAATTCTCGATATTTGTAATTCAGAAAAAATATTACCTCCTGGAAGTCCTGGAACTGGTTCCAATTTCTTCCCTTCTCCTTCTTTAGTAGTGGGTACAGAAGATTTTGCTTGAGACCTACCCCATTTAATTGTCAATCTCCTACCACATAAAATAAGTTTATTAAATGCTTTTTCAGCAGCTAATTCAGCAGCAGTTCTTGTAGTAAACTGTATAAAAGCACATTGTTGTCTTGCCAACATAGTTATGGACCTAATTTCTCCAAACTGATAAAAATAGTCCCTAAAATAAAAATTTCAAATGTTATTATTATTTTAAAAGTAATATTACAAAGCATAACTGCATAAAACAATTTAAAAAGCAACTACTTAAGTAAAAAAATATATATTTCAATATAAAAATACACTAAAAAACATTATATGAAATTATAATGTAAAAAGCTGACTTTTAAAAAAAAATCTTATACAAGAAAATAAGTGAAATAAATAAATAAATGGTAGCGATGATAAATGGTAAACAATTTTTTTTTTAAATTTATAAAAATACTAGCTGTTATCCACGACTTCGCCTGTGCGGATTTTGCAAGCAAACCCCATTTATATTCAATATTTCAACAACCATAGTAATTGTTATATAACACCTACCGCTGAGAATCAAAGGAAATGTTTTCAATTTGATCAATTTTCTGGAACATTTACAATCATTCTATAATCGAACCAATATGTAATAACAAATTCAAATTTAAAATGGTTCGAATATTTGGTTAAAAAATCGAAATATATAAAAATATTTATAACAATGTCTGAAATGTTATCAATTTAAGGGAAAGTATGGAAATCAATTTTAAAAGCCATTCTTCAGGTTAAGCATTAATGCTCTCCCTCTCCCCTGCAGGGGAATTTTGAAAAATCCCTTCTTAGCATGCATTTTCATGATGTACCCTAACTGTGTACCAAATTTCACCACTTTAGGTTCAGCGGTTTGCTCTGGGCAGTGATAAATCAGTCAGTCAGTCAGGACAAGTAATTTTATATATTTAGATATAATACTTAATATAATAATTATAATTGAAATGAAACAGTTCATTTACATAGATTATTAAACTATATAAAACTTTTAATTTTGCTAGAAATTTAATTGAAGATTTTTCCACAAAAAAAAAAAAAAAAAA